ACAGTTGGAAAAAAAAATGAAGGGGAAAGAAAAAAGTATCAAGAGACATAAGATGTCCTACTCTGTAGCATGTGGGGAAAATTTGCTTCCTACAATTCATCAAAATGTATATGATTCATTCTGCTCGAGTAAATTGTGCAATAGCGAAATTGTGTGAACCTATAGAAATATTGAATTACTAGAGTAACGTTTTTGGGTGTTAATATGATTGTAGGTAGACTTCTTGTTTAAATTAATAGTCACAGTTGACAATTATCATTCTTGTCACATATCAAAATAATTTACAAAATCTCGGTAAATTATATGACTAGCAATGAGAATGTTTGCTTAATATAATAACTATTGTCAATTAAAGTTCTACGATCAGTTTTAATCACAAAAGTGAAAATCGGCATTAATAATAGATGCATCAATTTCTGATGTAGTTACACGATCAATGCAGTCACGATTATTTTTTTGTCGAGAATAAGCATTGATACGATAGTCTGATGTGACTCCATACATCATGGAATAATAATTGAATCATACATTGTCGTTTTTTACAAATTATGAAAAAAAAATAAGAGAGTTTCACTACATGCTCAAAAATGAAAGCAACAGTAATACATTTGTTGGTAAGCTGTGTTAAATAGGACATTCAAGAATTCTTTCAACAGAGTAAAACAGAATATTAGTATTGTAATTTATTTTGGATTATCTATATAAAAAAGAGCAAGCATTTATCTCTTGCATTGACATTATAAGTTGTTTGACGACCACGTTTTAATGATTTGTTCTTTGCTAATTATTCATCGTACAGAGATGCAGATGAGGTGAAGTCAACCTTTTTACCATACCATAAAAAGCAAAGAAAAAAGCAAATTTAGCTGATTCTGATTCGTTGTCCATTGTTGATAAAGTAATGAGTTTGTTTTACTAAACTATAATTTCATTCCAATCATTCAAAGAGAATACTCGGTACACAAAGGACAATTTAAGTTAAAATCTTCAAGAAAGAATTATCTGAAAAATTGAGAATGATTTAGTAATTGCTACATGCAAAAATAAATATTAAATATGCTCGGCTTCTCCTGTATATCCTTCTCATATTGATAACATTGTGCGCGCCTTCTCGGACAGAAAAGCAAGAATCATTTTTGTTTGCCAATTCAGTGCTTCATTATCTAATGTATTGTAATAAATAGAAATAGAATACATCACAATGTGTAGTGTGAAGAGCTCTACAACCTAAAAAGATGAAATTTTATATGCATACACACCTTTCCCGTCCAAAATGGAATTTAGCATCTCTAATTTTTGATGTTGAGAACAGGATTATTGTTTTTTTAGTGCGTTATTATTTCTGTTTCTCATTGTTATGATTGATAACTTATATCGAGATCCATAATAATCTATGTGCGAGCTATAGATAAAGTTAGAAAGAATTATTCATTAATTGATGATATACGCATAGGAATTGACTGTATATCAAAACAACATGTTGTTCACAGGATCAAAAATTAATCATTTAGAATTTTGTCTATATTTAACGCAAAAGATTCACATATCTACATTAATTTTTTTTTCTTTTGTAAACTGTAGAATCTTTTATGGAGTGTCTATGGCGTATTTTGTTTCTTTAATAAAGCATAAAAGATGATAAAAATAGACAATAATAAACAGGAAGCTATCGAGTACTAAAAGAAATTAGTTTTTCTCAAAGCATGAAAAATTAGTGGCTCAGAATTGCTTCCACTTCAATGATAGATATTACAATTATGCAATCTCTTTTTCTTTTGTAGATTTGAATTTTCCAGGCTACACTTAGTAATATTATTTTTATTAACATAGCGCATTAAGTAACGGAAAGAAGGAGTTGAAAAAAAGCAATTTTTTTTTAAGAAAACAAACTGAGAAAGCTAGTTTTTTTCCATATCTCTACTAATATACAGAAGGAAATAGAAATAAAATTGCCTATTCATATAGGCTGGGCAAATAGTGTTGTAATTAATATGCGAAGTAGAAACTGAAAAACTACACTAACTTGTTAAATTCATTTGATTCTTATTCAAGAAATACAAATATGCCAGTCAATATCATTGTTACAGTTCGTAAAACTATGAAACGTGTTGCTGCATTGAATATTTTCGATGATGCAGTCTCACGTTCTAATCCATTTAATTTGCGTACGGCAATTATTTCTACTCGTTTTTATTTTGCTCTTCTCATATTATCTCTCATTACTCTTGTCATATTTACTTCTTTGAGTAATGAAAATATATCGATTACAATTCGAAATCCATCGGAAGCATCTTACGAGTATTTACTTCGCACATATTCAAGAACTCTATCTTGTCAATGCAGTCGTACCATCATTCCATATAGTGATTTCACTTCGACGAATATTAAATATCATCCTGTATGCTCAAGCATGTTCGTATCGGATGATTGGATCGATTGTCTTCTTAGTCCAAACATGAATACTCTCTATCAAGCTGATTTTCGTGCATTTGCCAGTACATTTTTTCAATCACTTGTTACATTCTGTTCACATGCTCAACGATCAATAAACGACGCACTCGATAATCTTCGATCAGAAACTCTTCTCACACCTGATATTTTATCTTTTCAATCATTAGATGTTAAAGTTCAAGCTAAGAGTCAATTTCTTCAAACATCCACAGCAAATAGTCTTGTTCGATTGCTTGAACTCGTACGCAGCACGACATATACCGACACACTCTATTCAGCATTTCAAACATCTGAACTATTACTTAAAACGACTACAGATAATGGTTCAATTACATTGATTGAAGTGAAAGTTTCACTTTTTCCAAATGATTCTACGGAATGTGAATGTTTAATAACACCTACATGTTCTTTACCAGCTGGATTTTTCAATGGTACAGACATTGGTATTATCGCGACCATCTGGAGTGAACCACTGAATCCAGTATTTGTCAACGGCATATCGTTTTCATGCTATCCAATCGAGTCATTACTTCAATCGACACTTGAATGTTTCTTCAATCAATCGTGTCTTGAGACTCTTTTGCAATTTTTCTCAAATTGTAACACTCTTAATATCGATGTTCTTAATATTAATCAAACTCATTTTACGGCAGATACAACAATTGAAGAACTCATTAGTCTCTTATTTATTGAGAACTGGTCTGTACAAACTTTGTTTACCAACTATTTCACATTGTGTGCGCCCATGTTATGTACATATACCATTGAAAAGCGCAAAAGTCTTTTGTATGTAATAACTCAAGTATTGGGTATCTACGGTGGACTAACTGTTACTTTACGTGTATGCATTCCCATTATTGTTGGTTGGTGGCGAAAAAGGCGAATCAACACTCGAACAGAAGCCAATCCAAGTATGTATGATATAGAATAGGTTCATTGAATAAGTTTTGGCAAAAGGTAAAGAAACTTAGCATTGTTTTTTTTCGCTTCAATAAACTCAGATGTACTGATCTTTGAATATTCAAAATAATGTTTTACTTGCTCGTATTGTTTATTAAGTTCAGTTACTGATAAAAAGTTAATCCTTTTAAGAATATCACAGATATTTTACTTACTAGAGAGAATAGCGGCTAGGAACTGGGACACATAGTAATCATTTGATCGATTTAATGATTGGACGAGTTTTAATAATCGCATCATGAGTATCAAGACTTTTGAATAAAAGAGCATACGGAATTTAGTTCATCAAAGACGCTTTCACGTTCGACTTAAACTTACATAGAAGTTGTACACATGTAAATAGAATGGATCGAAAAATCCGGAGAAATCTGAAGGAAAACCAAGGATTAATAGTGTGCACTCTCACTAATGTTTCTTTGGTTTGTTCATTATGAATTAATATGTGCACTGATTAGACAGCTTATGTCGGTGAGCTATTGTCTATTTCGCCTCAACATTGTTTCTGTGTCTATGTTGAATTGACTGCACAATGTAATCATTATGTCATTACTTTCTAAAGCTGGTCAGTATTCTTACTGCACGAAAAGACTAACTGTGCCATATATCTCGACGAAGTTTCGTATTTCATTATTAAAAGAAAAAACTTAATAACGAGCCCTTTACACACCTAATGATTCTTTAGGTGCGTTTCAATCTCAATAATATATATTCTAAACTCTAGGTAATCGTTCTTTTTCGATAGGGTCTCGTGTACTAGTGTTCTGTGAAAAAGAATCAATAAACCTATTACGATAACATGAACTATCGACGTAACTATAGACTGATCATGGAAGGCTTAGTCTCTAGCCAAAGCTTTGAGCTCTGTATCGAAAAAAAAAGATTTGAAAAGCTTACAAAACTCCAATTCCGTTAAGTATCCCATATGTAATATGTTACATCTATCTGCAGTCTATTAACTAACAAAGTCTCTTGCCAATTCTTCTTTTTCATTTTAGATAATATGTAAGCGTAGCCGCCTACAATGAGTAAATAGTACGTTGAACGAGCATTTCACTTTTGCCACACTGAAACGAGAGTTTCTATCTTTCTAAACTAGAAACGAATGCAATCATGATGGTTTGGCTGCCACTAGGTTTCGGTTCTGGTTTTATAGTTTTTTTTCCAAAAATGTCTTGATCACAGTCGATCAGTACGTAGAAAAATTCAGCTATTCTTCGATTACGCAAAAAATACTTTTTCTTGCAAGAAATTATTGACTTCAATATACCTAAAGTTTATAGTGATCCATCCTTCTTTTCGCATCTCCGTTTTTTCAACTAAGCCTTTGTGTAAGACTATTCAAGATGTTGGGAACAAGGTTCTCCCTGGCATGACAACCTGGTTTCGCTACCTATATAAACTGAACCCAATAAAGCATTTATCTTCTCCTTTCTGGTATATTATTATGTTGTTCTCCGATATCCCTGCATAACGCCATATTGATTACTAATTTCATGCCCTTTGTTAGCTCTTTTGTTTACAATTCCATTACTATTTACTATCCACAATATTACTTAAAGGAGAATCTATATTTTAGCTCACTCCTCAATTGAACAAGTTCAAATGATACTGCAATTGGTAAAAGTTAAAATAACTGAGTTGACTTTATTCAAAAATGCTTCAGCATGCACTGATCGGTTTGAATTGGTCACTGGCAGAATTGCAACACGCGTCTACTTAATTCTTCTCTGTTTTTCGATGATTATTATCGGTTTTTTTACTGGATTAAGTTCTAACGTTCACATAATAACGGTTTATGAGCCAACTCAAAGTAATTTCACAAATTTATATGCGAAAAATCTTCAATCATTTAAATGTCCATGTAGACAAACTGCCATTGCATATGGCTCATTTATAGAAGTATGGCCCTTGTTTCATCCAGTTTGTTCAAGTTGGTTTGTATCTGATGAATGGAGACGTGCTCTATTGTTAGCAGGCCAATACAATCCTTTTCTCTCTAGCACTGACTTTATAGTCAATGGATACATATATTTTAATGCTTTGAACACTTTATGTACACTTGCAAATGTGACTATTTCCAATGAATTGTTCATTTTTACTCAAACATCATTCATTAATGATCGAGCATTATCCTCTGAAGAACTATTAGCTCGTACACAACAGATATTGACACAATTTGAATCAACTACAGTAGCTGAATTCAAACGCAATCTTGCCATCATTCGTTCTCTAACTACAACTACATATACAGCCGGATACGGTGATGTCTATTGGTACAGTATTCCTTCGGTTTATGACATCGGCGACAGCTATTTTGTACCAACACCTGCTATAATTGAAAATTGTTCATGTGCACTTAGTGATGAATGCAAAAATACGATAAGTTTGTACAATTATACAATTGATCTTAGTGTTCCCCCACGAGGTGTTCTATTCAATATTCCACATATGTATAAGAGTTGTTTTAATATGCAATCCTTACTTCTATCGTCACTCGAATGCTTTTTCGAGCAAACATGTTTTGATCCTATTCAAGAAATAATCAATGTTATTGCAAACTTCTACTTTATAATCAATGGATCCGTACTTCTAACGAATTCAACACGATTTCCTCCAAAAACAACTGTTGGAGAAATCATTAACGAACTTATGATCGAAAGATGGTATGAAAATGTACGCTATGTAGAATACTATCAGCAATGTGCACCCGAACAATGTTCCTATTTATTGACATTCCGTAATAATGCACTTTATATAGTCACCACGATCATTGGACTATTTGGTGGTCTTTCAGTTGCTCTCAAAATTATTGTTCCAATAATAGTCCGTTGCATACGAAACCGAATGCGTTCGCAAGCAACACCAGCTAATGTGACAGGTTGGTTGTAGTCCGGCGAATATTTTTTTCAAAAGGAAAGAAAAAACAGTGAACAGTCTAAAACTAACTTAGTTAGGACGATTTTCATTCGTAAGTCAATTTCTCTAAGTGATGGCCTGGGTAACCTCATGATCTTGCAGAACATCTTATTGTGTAGGATAGATGGGCACTTAAATTGCAATAAGCGAATGTGGACGAGGTAGCAAAGTAAACCTATAGAGGAATACAGAATTTCTGATTCTCTGAAAATGACGTATCCATCGAGAAATGCCAGAAAGAAAGAGAAACTTCAAGAAGCATATAATCAAGAACAGAGTTTCAGTAGAGTCATCATAGATTTCAAAGCAGTGGAAATCCATATTGTTTGTATGAGAAAGCGAAATCCAGCTTTGCTAAAATTTTTAAACCGCATCAAACATCAAAGTCCCAACGATACAATACGAAAACGTATGTTTGCAGATTTCGTTAAGTAGGCTAAGAAAACGGAAGACGCTTCTTCATATATTTAAGCACTCATTAATAATCATCTTTTACAAACAAATCGACTGAAAATACCGATAGGTGAAAGCTTCGAAAAAATAAGTAGAAAGACGTAGACGATCAAATCAACGAGAAGCAGCTTATTGGTAGGCAAACGTCAAAAGAATGTAATAAAATAAAAAAAATTTTGCTGTATACATATGCTGGTATTATTTTCCACTATAATTGTCTATTGCTTTACTATTTCAGTTTTTTTTTCAACTTAAAATTGTCTGTTTTCATTTATCTAGAACAAACTGTAAATATCCAGTTCGTAATGATTTATAGTCAGTTTTTCAAAGTATGGATTGAGTTGTGAATTGTGGCGTCTTTTTCGTTGTCTGTACAGTGGAATAGATTTTAAAAACTTTCTCTTTCGTGAATTATTCAATGAACATTTTCTTAATGCTTGTATCAATCATATTGATTTCATATCATGTGTCAAGTTGAAGTACTTAAAGCTTTGAAAGTATTGTTTTCGATTTTAAAGACTAGTATTACTTTATTTTAATATATATATACAACGGTCATACGATTCTGACAGATTAATGAGAAAGTTACTTGAAGACAGTTTTACTATGCCGTTACACCACAAGAAAAATGCTTGTTAGTTGAGAATATCTGAAGTTTTATTTTCTTCGCGTACCACAGGACTGCAAAACCTATTGTTATATGTAGCCTTTGATCAAATTCTAATTTAATACTAGCAAAATTGGTTTCAACTTTTAAAAACGAATATTGATAGAAATGAAACAGTCTCTACAAAGCTATCTCCCATTAATAAACAGTGAGGTTCTGTTGTCATTCGAGCATATGTGTCAAGAACTGTTAAAAAAATTGTCGTTCACTTAAAATGTTCGCTTACTTATAGAGGACATTAACATTTTACGGTTACTTTCAGTAACCATTGATAGATGTGAAATTCAATATGTGTAAAAACACATCTCAAATTTCTATTACTTGAGCATAAAGAATCTTTATATGTAATGAATGAAAGTTTGTAGAATCAAGAAGAAATTAATACTAAAGCACTTCTCTGATGTAAGAAATTTATGTTTTTTGAATACAAAAATAGAGCAGTTTTTAGTTGTTCTTTCTATTTTGAAGATCCTACACCAATATCAGACAAGATACGCGCACTATGGGATTTGATAAAAGTAAAAGCAATGGAGTTCAATCTATTTGAAACTGAAATATCGTGGAATGATGATAATCGCCGTCGTAATGAAATCATCTCTACTCGTGTCTTTCTCTTATTAATCACTCTATCCCTTACTATTGTAATAGTTTACACTGCTAGCACACGTGCAATTCGAACTATAACAGTCAAACATCCGTCTCAAGCAACTTTTGAACGATTGTCATCTAATGCAAAATATTTGTCTACATTGGATTGTCCTTGTCAAAACATATCTGTACCATACGATGCATTTGTATCAGTATTTCCTATATACCATCAACTTTGTTCCAGTGATTTTATTGTTAAGAATTCCTTGTGGATCAATGCTATTTATTCAACAGAGAGCATGATCAAATACTCCTATGATGATTATCGACGCTTTGCCGTTCAACACTTTCGTCTACTTGCCAGTTTGTGTACTCTAGCCAAAAATACAATCAACGATAGTTTATCGATTTTTATGTCAACTTCTTTGATCAACATTCGAGTACAATCTCGACAGACTATTGAAACACAGATAAACATGGATCTTGCTCAATTTCGCTCATCAACACCAAAAACATTTGTACGCATGATTGACTTTATTCGGCAAACGGCCCAAGCCAACGGACTAGTCTCGTCTGTATACTCGAACTGGTATGTAGAAGTCTTTCATTTATCTGACTATTACTCATCAATGGCATCGTATTCTTATGGTAATAATAATTGTTCGTGTGTAACTAATGGCATGTGTACGTCACCAGCAGCTATTAACGAATGGATTGTGCCAGGTTTTCGTGTCGGTTGCTATGTACTTGAGTCTTTACTTCAATCCACTCTTCAGTGTCTATACGAAGAGACATGTATTGACAGACTAAAGAATATATTTCAGTTTTTGAACAGCACATTTGCACCTCTCGATTCTACTGTGACGTCTCCAAATGTTACTGTACAATCTCTTGTCGATGATCTCATGGTTTATCGATGGGAATCTACAGTGGATTTTGAACATTACTATTCAATTTGTGCGACTGTTTCATGCACCTATATAATCAACGAGCGAGCCAATCTAGTTTACATGATTACTACAATTATTGGGCTCCTGGGTGGCTTGAATGTTGCACTCAAAATTATCGTTCCCATTCTTGTAAAAACAGGACTTTATGTAATCGAGACTCGTCGACGAGGAATCCATCCGACGATAGAAACAATTTCCGACTTCAATTGAATTAATGGAAAGAATTCTGTTAAAACAAAGTTGATAGAACCTAGATATGTAAAATAGACTTATACACATTGAATTATTCAGATTCTACTGGCAGTAGATGAACGCAAGCTTAACATGAACAACAGAGTGACACCTTTTACGCTTCTTTAGTTGATATAAATCAAAATAAATATTGAAAAAAAATCGTGCTTATGAAGGAAAAAGAATATGAACTGAAAACATAAAAGTAGGAACGCTTTGAAATTTAAAATCATAGCACATAAATGAAGGTCATGCAAAAGCTGTCCGTTCGTGTAAGAGGTGAAAAAAAGAATAAAATGTAAAAATATTCTATACGATAATTTTAGTTTTAAAGAAATTTAATTGTAAAAATAAGAAGTTTAGTGACGTTTAATTAATGTGAGACATAATTATGAATGAATGTCAAAATATATTGAATAATAATGAGTTCATTACATTAGTTAATGTGTCATGAATTATTATAGGATTGTCCATTTATATTTCTAATCAGTAATAAAGAGAAGACTACATCACCATCATAATTTTTGGATTTTTGTGATCTCGAACTTTCATGTTAGACTATAAAGTGTAAATATTGATTCAAGACAATTAAAAATAAAAGCGGAACCTCAGATTTAAATCCGAAAGTTATGTGTACTTCAAAAAGTGAATGAGACAGATGAGTTATTCTAGAATGTGTGAACATCAAAATTATCCTGGTAATCCTTTCCTATAAATACTCGAACTCTACTGGCTACTGCTCAATCAATAGAATTTGGCGGCAAGTGTAGCTCAGATTTGAACTCCTTGTCTTGATTTACCCTAAGAAAATCGTTTTTTCTTATAACTTGATTTCTATTGGTCCTTGTTCAACCAATGGTATCTCGAGGGTGTAGGTGTGTGTGGATGAGAATCTTGATTCTCTTCACACCCACACCCTGCAATAACTCAACAATGGCTCGGCCAATCTTGGGTGTAGGTGTGAATATTTGTGTGATCTGCAACTGCTCTCACACCCACACACCCGACACCCACACACTCGACACCCACACCCTTTTTGTTCCCGTTATTCATGACAATCGCAACAACTTGCTTTACATTTGCCATATAAGTAGAAATTTGAAAAAATGAACAATAAAAATTTGTAATTGTTGATGTAAATGAAACAACCCTAGGCTCAATCCTGATCATTCCTTGGGAAACCCTGAAAGGAACTTTCAGGATCCTGAAGCCCAAGGATCTTGTCAAGTTTTATTCAAGATCCTGTTTCGAATCCTAGTAATTCCTGTTTCCAGGATTTTTCAAGGTGAAACAAAATCCTGTTCAGGATTTCTTCAAGTTCTTGCTCAGATATTTTTTATCAGTTGAGAATACAGGATCCTAGCAGGATTTACTCAAGAACCTATCAAAGATCCCCTCAAGATTATGAGAAATGATTCTACCAAGATTTTATGAGGCTCTCGTCAGGACTTAAGTCAAATCGTTGTATCAGGATCCTGTCAGGATTGATAGACATATCGTTCAAAGGTTTTGGCAAGAAAATAATAAGACCGATCGGAATACGAAATTGACTAATCCTGCAAAGATTCAATCAGGATCTTGCTCAGGAATTTTCAAGAATGTGCTTTTGCAAACCTTTCAAGTCAATATCAATCTTAATCAGAATCTTGATAAGAAAATGTAAGGATTCAGCAAAGATCTTTACAGGTTGCTGTTTAATCCACTCAGTCATGCTAATTTCCTGAGACAGACTTGAAGGATCTTTGAGAATCATAAATCTCAAGGATCCTGTCAGGTTTGATTCAGGATTCTATCCAGGATCTGTTCAGGTTCTTGTTTGGATTTTTTTCTGAATTGAGTTTGTAGGATGCTATTAAGATTCATTGGTAATCCTATCCAGGAACCTAGCCAAAATTATAAAGAGAATTTTGCCAAGATTCCATTAAATTCCAGTGAAGATCTGTTCTGAATCCTGCTAAAAGGATCCTGCCAAGAACTATAGCTGTATCAGAAAAGGATCATACCAAAAACAAAACAAGATAAATCAGAATCCTTGACTAAAAAATCCTGCTAAACTTCGATCAAATTCCTGAGAGGAACTGTGG